ACGTCCTTGGCCTCGAGTGGTGTCGACACTGAAGCTGAACTTCGACACCAAACGCTTGAAAGGCGGCCGCTTCATGGGACAACGCCACTGGGCCGTGCTGGGATCGACCAGGATCGGCTGGGTTGAAGCTGGGGCCGTTCAAGACGGCTGAAGCTCATGTGTGGCTGGTTTGGGTCACAAAGCAACAAGAAGACCTGAGGTTGAACCGCTCAAATGATACAGAATGATACAGATATGTCCTTCGACAGGTCTTTGTGAACAACCAGCTAATCCCGATGCAGCATAACCAACAGATCATCCGAAGACCAGACCAACACTGTAGACCTAGAGCTGCTAGAGCTCGCCTGGTTCGCACAATTGGTTGCACTGACTTCTCCAAGGTCCTGAGTGGTCCGAGACCCTGCAACGTGCCCGGCTACGATATGCGAACCGTTTTGTGGATTACCTCCGAAGGGCGCGCCACACGAAGAAGAGCTGCTTGCTGGTGACACATGGACACATGGTGCAGGCGCGAAGGAAACGACAAAACCGTCGCGAGTACCGTCGCGACACATGGCACGGCCGCTCCGTACCGGGTGGCTGGGCACGGCGCATGGCGAGCCGCAGGAATCCATGCTATTCCAGGCTTGTGCCCAAGAGGTACCATGCCAATTTAGGTTTCGCAGTAGGTGAATCAAGATGGTCAGACCCTGAGCAGTGACAGAAACTTCAACTCTGGCAACATTCAGGAAGCTTCTGGACTGCCGCAACTGGCAAATTAGACACTTGACATGATGGCACCAGACACACCATCCACAAGGTCTGTGCCCTCCCACAGGAGGACATGGGAGTTGCCGAGCTAAAGCGTTGTGTCGGGTGGCAGTTGTGATATGTTGTGATATCTGACCTTGTTTGACAGGACAGCCCGTCATGATTTTAACAATCATATGAGTCACATGGTAGTCACGTCCTGGCGCCTTTTCAAGTTCAAGTGACATGCATCAGTTGATAAAACTCCGGATACGTGCAGATGAGATGTCCTTGTCACTTATCACATTTTCAGGTAGTTCCCAGCGCAAGAGATCGTCATTTGCAGTTCCTTGAGGGTTGACATGCTTGGAGGTTGGAGCAATGGGGGCCAAGGATGTTTAACTCATCAGACTCATGCCCATGTAAGTGCGACGATCAAACCTTTCTAAAGCATCAGGGGGCTGATACCGAATGTTTTGCGGGGTGGGAACAACATTTTGAGTTGTTGTTGTACTTGAATAGCTTGACTCGGAACTTGTAGGATGTTCTAGGTGTACGTTCATGTCCCTGCCGCCAGACTGGCTCCCTTCACGGCTTCCACCGTGCGCAGGTTTGTGCCACCATTCTGCCCGCCACAGCTCGACAGAAGGTGATCTCTGTCGATTATGCGGCCATGGTGCTGGCCATTTGCCATCGGTCGCCCAACAGCTTTCATGAGACGGATGTGCAGATTGAACAGCAACAACGTTCCGTGGATGTATATTAGCGTAGGTTAGTTTTGTTTTGATTGAATGTTGTTTTTGTCGTTTCTAGACAGGAGTTCTTGTCCAAATAGCAAGTGGGAGCGTGCATTGAACCTGTCCTGTGTATGCCAAATATGTTTCCAGATTGATCCAGGCGCAGATTTTGAGTGCCAAATACTTATCAAGACAGATCTTTTCACAGTGATTCGGATGTGTGTACGTGCAGTTATGCAGTCCCCCAGGTGGCACTGAGCCAGACAGACAGAGAGAGAGAGAGAAAGAGAGAGAGAGAGAGAGCGCGAGAGCGAGAGGGTGAGTGAAACAAAAGTGTAGACTGTAATCTAGAGTGCCCAGGCCCTGTAATGAGTAACTGCGCAGGACCGCAGGATGGCGATGGCATGCGGTGGCTGTTTGTTCTGTCTTCTTTTTTGTGGTCATGAAATGCACCCCTCCAAAGGGAAGCTTACTGTACATGTGTTGGCCTTCGTGCATGTAGCATGAAACCCGATCAGTCAGCAATGAACATAAGCTTGGTCACATTGATTACGATGATCGCAATCTTTTCCCTGCAGACTGATCCCTGACTGAATGTAAGCCAATCCACCCACGTTGCTTAGGCTATCACCTACAATGTCTTGTTTTTGGCTCTGAGAGACGTCCATGGTTCAGAGAATGAGGGGCCTTCAAGCTCATAACTCACAACCTCATAGGAACCTGGCTCGACCTGATAGGCCTATTTCACAAAGAATCACAGCTCGTCAATTACCGCTCGATGGTGATGAAATGCAATGAAAAGACCAGGGAAAGACATCCTCCATCATCCTCCCATCCAAAGCGAGAACACAAACACAAGACTAGTCGATCTGATCCAAAACAAATTGGTAACCTACCCTTTCACAGTAGACAAGTCTTGAGCTATCCTTGAAAAATGCATAGGTCCTTAGGTCCTTGAAGAAAGACAGGACTTTCGAATGCAGGCACGATCTCCTTCCACATGCGTCCAGCTACAAATCCTGAGAAACTGGATCATCAAAGCCAACTACAAGAGCGGAATGAGCTTTTGCAAGAAGCCAGACTGAAATATTGGGAGGTTTGGCTGCAAGGCGGGCTTTTGCAGTCTCCCTACCATTGGAGGTATCATGCACAGGCGATGCAGGTCGAATTTACGTGTATTTCTTGGAGTTCAAAAGAGGACGTTGCTCCAGATTGTGTCAGGTGTCCGAACTGTCAGCAGCTCCGGCCCACGCATGCCAGCCATCATCCGACAGCTGTACCAATACCATGAGAGTTTGGGCCGAAGCTGGCAGGACGCTCAGAAAGCCCATTACCACCTACCTCTCATATTTGTCAACTTTATAACGGATGTTGCTTTAAAGATGCAACAAAAATGGGTGTCCAACTCTGTATTCCTGGATGGTCATGAACTTGGGGGGATCTAGGCTCTAAGCGGCGCACGTGAGTTTATACTCATTTCGAATTCACTAATTCAGAGGAAGCTAAAGGGACTGTGCATATGAGACCCCGTACATGTGGAATCCTGTGAAACACGCGCACCCTAATAGATCCGTTTGACTAGTTGTATACTGTAATAGTAACTATATTGGACAGCTGCAACACCGAGGATGTGGTCCGGCTTTTGGGAGTGCTCCCACCCACGGAAGAGTTTGACTCCGTCGTAGACTTGGAAGACAAAGTCCCTGGAACCCCAACCAACAGAGTGGGGAGGTCCTAATATTGGCCAATCCCAGTTGACCAATTCCAACTTGCGGAACAGCAAGTTGGAACAGGTTAGGGTTCCAGGTTCATTTGTTTATTTCTTTGTTTCGATAGATGTTTGTTTTCACAGGGTGCAAGTGCCAGAAAGAAATTGTCCAGCAAGTCCATTGCTCCTGCCTTCAATAGTCAAAACCTGCTTGAATGTATTCATAGCGATGTCAATTTCTACCCACATGATTGAAGATGATGTCCAGCCGTCCCAGCACATGTTGTTGGGCATTCTTGGGCTGTTCTTCCTCAGAACGACAGACTCCAAGGATAACGAGCAGCTGTCAGAAAGCGCTTGCAGCTTCCACACTGATACCATGACGGTCAGCTCAATGGCCATGTTTCGAGATCCCACCATCATACCCAGCAGTGCTGGGCAGCCTGGACGTTCGGCTGCATCATCCGCCCCCGAAGCTAAGACCGATGCTCATATCGCCGTGCCGCAGATGACTGCACGAGCCTTGAAGCAAGTGGAGCTGAGTTTGGGCTCCAATGCCTTGGCAAGGCGTCGAAGGGAAGATCGAACGGACCAAATGGAGAAGGATGAGAAGGAAGACGTCTTTGAGCAAGTCTTTTTGACCCAGTGACGGTTGCCATAGACAGCAGAAGAAAAAGAGAAGACATGTGGGCCGTGGGCAAGACGGACAGCGTTTGGAGAGACGCTGAGACGGTGTTGCTGGGACAGCGTTCTCCCCAAATCAACACTGTAGGACAATCAGGGCACTTCGCTTTACTTGCATTTGTTCACCACACTCAAAGTCTAAGATTTTCCAAAGCAGCTTCAGTCATTCAATGTTATCCGGTTTATCACGAAAGCTAGCATCAGCTAGCTGGAGTTGTCCTTGCTTTAGCAAGTGAGGGGCTGGAATCCTCGAGATCGCCGCATCACGTGAAAACTCCACATGTAGAGGGCCCCCCCCCACCCCGCGCGGGTTCAACTCCGCCCTGGGACGCCTCCACTTTGGTTCAACTCCTCCGTGGAGGTTTTGGGATACGATGCAACAGATTCAACAGATTCACAAGCTAAGGTTGGCTGTGTCATTGCTGTCCGTGTGTCTTACATGTTCACAACGTTTTAACCTCATGTCCACCGTATTGTTAAGTACCTGCAAACTTGGTACCTGTGCATGGGAGCAGTATAGGTACAAGGAGTTGGAGACATGTATTTTTCCTATAAAGTTATGGGAGAATTATGCACGTGGGTGCATCTGCTCAAACTCAAAGCATCCTGGCAGCCACTCCCATACCACTCCCATACATTCCCCATACCACTCCTATAAGTATTTTCCCCATACCACTGACTTACATTCCCTATACCACTCCTATAAGGATTTTTCCTATACCACTCCCATACCACTCCCATAGAATAATGATATATACCTGGTACATACCTGGTATATAAACCCTCCCATAGTGGAGATACCACTTTTATAGGTACTTATCAGGTTTCTTGATCATGAGCGAGACCTTGTGAACCATCCCTCCAACAGCCCCATTCCTATGAAAACAACAATTGCCTCACTCCGCTTGATGTCCCACCATCCCTTTGTCACTGGACGGCGCTGTATGCTTTGCCTCCACTGACACGGATGCATCCCTGCTAGCTTTCGTCACCTACCCTCGGCCTCAAGTATATATATAAATAAATATCGGTTGCATGTTCCTTTAAACGGTGAAATATAATTTATATATAATCATATCAGTTGCAGTTGACGTTTTGGGAATCCAGCGGTTCCCAGGATGTCCGCGTCGTTCGAAGAGCAGGAAGTCCTTCCATGAGTTCGACACCGACGAATCGGGCGAGCTTTCGACTGGGGAGGTGCAAGCGGTTCTGAAGGCCGTGGAGGATGGGGGGTGGGTGCGCCGTGACCCCGGATGGCACGAATTGAATATGAATGATGCTGTTGCGCTGTCGTGAAGATGTGTCACGCCCGAAAAGCATTCGGAGGATTCAGATATCATAAGTTCCTGTTCTTAGCACCGGTCTTTTTTGTACAGTAGATTGTTGAAGAGGGGTGAGAGCGGCCAGCCATGGTGATTGTGCTGATTATTTGCTGAATGATTGTAATGCAAGTTTGGTTAGTTTACATTTTATCAGTTTGTTGTTCCTCTTGAGATGCACCAACTAGTCCAAACAAACACCATTTCGCGGCCAACTTACTGTACATTGGTATTTTACATGCTGACATATGTAATATGTTTCCGGTGAGAGTCAGCCAAGCCTGAAGTTGCTTGAGGATCATGAACTCCACTCAGCCACACACCCCTGACTGCACAAAGCAACAACTTTGTTCGACCAAAACATGTTCTTTGGGATGCTAGTCAGTGGTTGATGAGAGCAACTGGAGGCCCATATTGATCAGTCGTCCACCAGCATCCGGGTGTTTCGCCCGGATGCTGACTTGCCTGTCGAAGTGTTGTCGACCCGAGGTCCGACCCAGGCTGCCGAGGTCTGATGACAAACCGGTGCTTTCGGGGTTTTGAATGGTTAAGTTTAGATCTTCCACATTTTTCACTCACTTTGGGTAGGTGATGGTAGGTGGATCCAAAGCCTTCCACATTTGATGGGACCCGCCCCCCCTTTCCAAACGCAACCCAAAGGATCAAACCCTGCGCCAGGCGATGGGATGTTCACCCTTCAAAGGCACCTTGCAAAGGCGTGGGGGGTTCGCCTTTGAACCTTTTCGGTCAACTCTTCAAACTACCATGATGGTCCGACTAGGTTTCGGCTCGGTGGATCAGATGGTTTGCGCGGTCTTGTGCATGTTTCTGCCATCTACTGGTCTGTATCTCTTCAACATAGCGTGTTCAACGACTCCAGGGACGCCCTTTGTTCTCCCTGGTTTGGGTTATGCTACCCACCCAAGCGGGTAGGGTTTGGACGCCTCCAGGGCACGACTCGTCCGGGCTGTGCAAATGTGCACATGCGTTGTTGCTCAGCTTGTGAACAGCTTTGCGTGCCCCAGCCAAGTACGATACCGCGTTTACCAGCAGGATTCACAGACCACTGCCACACCAGAATGTGTTGTTTTGTTCGCTCATATTATAGGGTTTAGGGTGGTTGAGCCGACCAGTGACGGATCCAGTTCCAGCGGTTCTTGATGGCTTTGCTAAAGAAATTATGGTGCATTTGTACATGCCCGACTTTCGTTCGGACGGTACTTGTACATGCATGCGTTTCCGATGGGATCCCAAACCACAGTGGATTGCAGATGTGGCCCCGTCCACGCTGGGCACGGCGAGGATTGTTCGGGTCACACAAGTGGTTGCAGGCTGATTGATGCGGTGGACGATGACTCCTCAGGCTGGATGCAGCCGGAGGACAGCCAAAGGAGTGCATAATTAGTATGGATGGATGCTCTGAATGATTCGATTTGATGTCTCATCAGTCTAACCCATCCATGCTGGCTGAGGGCTGAGGATGGACTGTTAACTGGCCTCTCTCACCTACTTAACGGGGCTGTCCGTTGGACCCGATGGGTCAGATGGGTCGGCAGTCCAACCTGTGAGCCCAGAACTGCCGGATGTTTCGATGATGAGCCACCCCACGTACGTTACATGGGACCGATGCACAAGATTTCAGAACCCATGCATGTTCCAAGCATTTCGAGTATTTGTGTAAAGAGCATTCCCAGTGGGCGGGCCAGAAGCTTTCTGCCTTTGGGCGGGACATGTTGTGAGCAGGAGTGTACCTCCCGGGCGTTGACCTGGACTGAGAGTCGGGAATGGCCGGAAAGAACCCCAGACTCGCTGGGAAGCAGTGCTCCAACGAAACGAAACATGTAGATCTAAAACGCTCCAAGCAGCCCGACCGCTAGGGAATTGAGACCCCAGACCCCTCCATATTATTATGAGGGTCGGACCCCTCCATATGAGGGCCCATGAGCGTTTGGCTAGATCTGAAACAGTGACCCCTCAAACATGGCGGGAACATTGAACATTGCCTACAACGAGTATCCATTGGTGTTCATTGACTCCTGCAAACCAGTAACTGGTATATACTGGTATCAATTGGGCTACGCATGGCTACGCCAGGCACTTTGGACTTCAACGAGTTCATTTCGCTTCTTTTGGTCTACCGACAGACTGATGGCTTCAGTCACAAGGACACGGATAATATTAGGTTGGAGGCCATCGCTACTATATAGGTTCCTTCAAGGTCTTTTTATGGGGGGTTCGGGTTGGTACCAGGAGATCCGACAGATGTATCGGACCTTTTGCCGTTTTGCCGTGGTGGACAACAACGTGAAGAAGGCCTGTTCAGAAGAGTTCTGGGAGTGAAAAGCCCTTGGGTTTGTGAATGGCTTTTCCTGAATATGGAATGCAGTTTCTATGAAACATATTGGCATCATGCCAGCCAGCATATTGACGCACATTGGGTGACTCAGAGCAGACAAAGTGGTCCGTCTACTGTGGCAACCTGCCAGTCAAGTTCTGTCATTCGAGACTCATCGCTGCCGGGTGCCCCACCAGGGTGATCCAATGAAACCAATGGCCCCCCCAGCTGAGGCGTAAAACCTCTCAGAGGGGTTCTGGTGAGTATGTAAGACAGAGAGCGCACATTCTTGCTCATAGATTAGACCAAAGGTTACGGACCTCGTGATTGCTCCCGAAGTCCAACAGAACCCACTCATCGCATCTCATCGCAGGTGCCGCAGTACCGCTTGACCACCGCGCTGATTTTTGAGTTCGGTGCGCAGGCTGCCGACTTGGCCAGGCAGTTCGGGCGATGAGTCTCGGGTTGGTCGATCAGTCGAGCTTTGGTTTTTGATCCTAATACTAGGACGTGGCTGGGATCCAGCTAGGATCTGGAGCCTGGGTTCCTAGTCGCTAGTCACCTTCAGGACATGAAAACGATGGTGAGACCACCGATGTCTTACAGGAGATGGCGGATTTTCAATCATCAAGAGTTGGCTTTCACAGGCTGCCCGTGTGCCCCGCCAAGAGTACATAGGATGCAGTTTGGTGTTCTTCACTTGGCCGAGAAGTCCACTCCACCCAGGCAGCTGGCGAAGCAGGACGGAAGAAGCATGTGCTGAGCTCGGACGGCTCTGGAGAAGCATGGGCTTGCTGTGTGTTGTTTTTTTTTCCTCATGTGGAGGCCATTGCTATTAGGTTGGAGGCCATCGCTCCTAGGCTGGAGGCCATGCCTATTCGGTTGGAGGCCATTGCTGTTATATATAGGTAGGTTGGAGGCTTCTAGGTAGTTCAGAGAAGAACCCTGGCACACTCAGACTCCGGACACGCCGTGAACCCATGGCGATGTCCGATGAAATGGCAAAGTTTTTGCATGTTGATCCGTCCTGAAACATACCTGGCGGATCCTTACGGCGAACCTTGACAACCTAGAGATATAGACTTTGCGGGTCTATCTTAAGCACTAATTTTTGTGATCATCACTACTTTTTGGCATTCTTCGGTTCAGGGCTTCATATTTGGATGGACCGTCGTCTTTTTGAGGCGTCGGGCCAAATCTCTTTGGATGATGGCTTCCTCGCGAAGAACGTTCGGACCTCGATTTTTTTCTTGCAGAGCCTTCACTCAAAGAGGGAGCTTCAGGATTCCGAGGACAACAAAGGTGTCGCTGCAAGCAGTATCAGGATGCCAGGGAGTGGCACAGGATCTCCTAGCGCTTGGCAATTATGTGAATTCATCGGAGACCAGAGACAACTAGCGAAGTAATCAGGCTGCACAGGACCTGGATTTGCATGTGCAAGTCATTGAATTGGTTTTTGGATTGGTGTCTAGCAATCCCTAGCGTGGGTTTGCATACGTGAGTCGACCACGGCATGAGTTAGAAAAAGAAACTAATTGAGTTCATATTGAAGTGTGTTGGGCAGGGTTGCAAAGGACATCATCATAGGACCAATATTTGCACCCACACCGAACATGAAGTAAGATGAAGGAAGTTGTTCCAGCTAAACACCAAAGAACACCTTCTGTGCTAAGAAAACTACATTGATGAAGCCCAAATAATGTTGCATGTGTTCATTGAAGAGGAGGTTTGTTTGCTTCAGTATGTGGCTCAGCTGCTAGCCAGAGCTGGCTGAGAGGTCAGTTGTAATTGATACAATGACGTTCCATTGAAGCGACGCGACCTGATGGAGCAGATTGCACCATCCACTAATCAATAGCACAACGAACCAAACAACTATCTCAAAGACAGCACCATTTTGCAGTCTGAGTGATTCCTGTATGTGTGTTTGAATCCCATTGACAGTCATACGGTCATGCGCTTGATCGATTTTTGCGCAGCCAATGATATGTGTTTCATTGGCTGCGGGCCGAGGTCGCTCAACGGTACTGAGAAGAGTGGAAGTGGAAGTTTGACCTTTCGACAGCCAGGCAGCCCAGGTCTTGGTTTTGGCACGGTATTCATGAATCACCAGCACAATCCGGGCCCTCAAACACAGGGTTTTGTTTTGAGGGTCGGGATCGAGGGCCGGACCCCTGTCATGCAGGGCCCAAGGATTTTTGAGGCAGCATGAATCAGCTAGAGTTTTATAGGCACAGTAGTGGGATCTCGTAGGTAGTTTGGGTGGCAGATGTCGACTGTGCTTAGTTGACTTGATATTTGGTTGTGCTCATGCAGAACGAACTGTCAGCACAGCAGACGCAGTACAATACCCTTGAAAGGTGGATGAAACAGTTATGACGTTCAACTCAAGCTCATGCAGGGACATCCCATGCAACCTCCACTTTCTTTGGACGACCCAATGAACCATGTGAACTGGTGGAACCAGCAGAGCAACACCGGAGCAGAAACACCGCAACCATCCGCAACCACCGGAGCGAACGAACGAGAACGTCAAGAACGTCAATTCGGAAGAGCAATTGAAGCTGTTGTCAACCGCATTCACTGCAACCAGGTGTTGTCAACCCTAGTGACAGCAGGCTAGTTGGCTGCAGGTCGGATTGGTACGGTGGATTTCGTTGATTCCCCTAAAGCCTAGCTGAGTGCCTACAAGTAGCTGTAAACTTCCACAGTTTTCCACTCACCTCCAGAAATGGATCGCACACCGTACACCTCCAAGGTTTGTGACCTGGTCCAGGCGAATGAAGGACTGCTTTGGGAAGAATGCAGATGGGACTCAGAGGTGTCATCATTGAACTGAGGAGTAGATCGTCAACATCACTGAGGATAGTACAAGTACAGTGGTTTCAGAGTAGATGGCACTGGCACCCCAAGATGACTTTTATGATATATAAGGGTCCATAGAAACCGCCGACATTGGAGACTGTGCCATCTATTCTCAATCCAATATATACTTTTGGAGTTTCGGGGGTCCCTTTCACAGGCATTTCCTGACCCAGAGACGGATCTGTCAGAGTTCATCCCAAATCCTCACAGTTCGCTGCACCCTTGGTCAGACACTGCAGACCGTGCCAGGAAGGCGAAATCAACGAATATGTGCGCCAGTGTCTCCCCCTGCGAAATGGAGACAGCTAACCAGGAGTGCAAGACAACGGAGGAAGAACAAAGAAGCTATTACGATTATTACGTGACTTTCATATTGTCATTGTTTATTATCGTATGACCATTCTTCCATTCATGTCTCCCCAACGAGGCCACTGGCATCCAGCCGTGTAGACTGATCCACCGGCGGCCGGTCACGGCCGCCACGGGACGCTGGGCCGACCGTGGCCGCTGTGGCGAGGTTCCAGCGCTTTGATCAGAGCCAAGACGGCGTGCTGGACCGGTCAGAGGTGAAGCAAGTGTTGAAGAAGATGGGCTACATGTAGGGGCTCCTGGCATCGCTACTAGGAACAAGTGTGCCATGGTTCGGAAGAAAACTATAGAATGGCGTTCCGGTATTTCGGAGTCATAGCCACATTGGCATTCGGGAAATTCCAGACAGGGAAGAAGGACGGAATAGCCCATGAATTTTAGACCACATCGGGGGATGGAGACCAGTTGATGGAGCATCTTCTGAGCACGTTTTGGATCATTTAGAGTTCATCCAGATGGTCAATGGTTCAGCGGCTTGGCGTGTGGCAACTTTAGACATCTTCCTTAGGGCCTCAGAGAGCGTGAGGATCAAAAAAGCCACGTGTCTCGCTCCGGTGACAGCCCATCAGTGAACCCCACTGACCTCGCTTCCCTTTTGATTTGAGGCCCTTGCGGTCCAACATCCAAGATCTCTTCCAAGCGGTTGATGCTGATGGGGATGGCACAGTCAATCTGGAAGAGCGGCTCGGTGAGAGGCGGCTCATCCGATTCGGATGCTCAGAACATCTCCAACCTACTAGCGATGGCCTCCAACCTAATAGGAATGGCCTCCCACCTATAGAAGCGATATGAAGCGATGGCCTCCACCTTTTTTTGCTGAGCCACAAATGTGTTTGACTTGCAGTAACGTGTTGTGGCGGATCAGCCCTGGAAGCTTCCTGTCACTTCAGGAAGTGCATTGATTGCTGCAGGTAGGCGTATCGGACCATATAGCGTTTTCAAGTCGATGGAGCAAGGAACACTAAAAGTCAATTCCCCGAAAATTCATGTGAAATTCGACTCGTTGAAGCATTGGATGGATGGCTCAGGAGGTTGGGGTTGGCTTATTTCATGATCACCACGGGAGTGGGCACTGCTGGCAGTAGGGCCACCATTCGTTCCGTTCAATGTCGGTGAGCGTCTCCTGGGTCCATACATGCTCCTGTGGATTCAGGAGCGTTGCTGTCTTTTTTCTCGGGTGAAGTTTGCTTCAAGTGGAGCCTTGCTCATTTCACTGCGCGCAAAACATGATCTTCTGTGGACGATGTGGCGAGATGCAGGGCAAACATGCAGAAGGACCTCCGCCCTAGTGCATGCATGGCCCAAAGCCAATTTGCGTTTATGTAATCCAGAAGCTGATAGAATTGCTTCCGCACCCTCTTCCATTTCTCGGTCCGCAACTGCAAGAAGCAATTTGGACACGCATGTCATCTTGAAATGTCTTGAACATAGTTCAGTTGTGATCAGGCCCCGGCCGCAAAAGAAACACACACGCACACACCCTCATTGTTTTTACTGACATAGGGCGCTCCGATCCGGTTCCTTCACAGGCGTCAGATATCATTTCCAAGGTACCTGGAAATGATGGACTACTTCAAGAGGTGGGATGGCTTCACCGGAGCAGAAGCTGCCGAGCTCTCCGCCGTCTTCAAAAGGCTCTCTTTGCTTTCGCCCTGCGACGACGGGAAAAACGGCCAAGCTGGGCCGGCGCCATTCTGGGGCCCTGTCCGTAACAGACTGTAACAGTACCCGCTTGAGAGGCTGGGAGGCACCTGCAGGTTTGGATGACGGGGCTTTTGCAGTGGTGCAGACAGCAATTCCCTGCCTTTCTTGGGACATGCGAACGCCTGGACATCCCCGTATGCATCGCCGCACCTGACAAGGGGCCACGGAAATACTGTAGTATTCAAAACAAGTCCAGGATAAAGCTTCGCAAGGATGGTTAGTCAACACCCTGATCACGGCCCCCACTTGGCACCAGAGGATGTATTATAGTTTAACATAAATATACAATCGATATCAATAGGTGTAGTTCAACTGAATTAAGGAGACGTAGGCAAGATTGATAGAGGTGAAACTGGAAAGTTTTGTGCGGCCACACAAGGCTCAGGCAATGCACTTTTGCCCAGCAATGGGCATTGCTGGGGTAGAAATTGATCAACAATTGCCAGTGTCAGACTGTGGAGTCCTGTTCCAACCTGCCCCTGCCAACTTGCAGGCATGCCAACATGGATGGCGAAATTTCCACCATGCAGCGCCTGGGCAGGGCACATGAATCCTTGACTGGGTCAGGGGAGTTTTGCATGATAAAGAGCAGGGGTTTTGAGGCTGGTGCTTATGCTTTGGGCTTTGGGTTTCTAGTTTCACCTTTGTGAACATGAAAACAATTGACCGAGCCGCATGGTGTCCATCAAGGGATTCGCAGATCCCTAACTGCTTTACTCTCTCAGGATCATCGCTAGTAGGTCTGTCACGGCCAAACGGTGCGGCTTTACTCTCCCAGGATCATGGACATTTTGCGCGCCAGCGGCCGAAGCACTAGCCTGCGGAAGATTCAACAGTTGGTCGCCAAGGTGGGGGCTCTCGATGGGCGCAAGAGTCTCAGTTCCAGATCGCCTAAAGGTCTGAGGTTGAGCAGAGGAGAGGTATTCAATCATTTTCTGGACCTTGCTGTATCCATAGATGCCTATGGCTCAAACATGAGCTACCATGTGGTGCCATCCACAAAAACAGTCCAAAACCGTCCACTTTTGTCACTGGGTCGCTGTGTTGGAGATTTCGGTTCCCCCAACGATCCCCTTGGCTGACCGAGTCAAAGCATGGCGCTGCGGTGACCGAGTTTCGGGGCAAACGAAAAGAGGTTCACCTGCGTGCAGACGACCATACCACCCACCGAGCGATGAACGTGCGTGCAGACGACCTGGTCATGACAGAACACCCCATGGTAATTATGAACTTGAAGTGGGCATGACAGCCCAACCCATCAAAAAGATCAAAAAGAGGAGAAATTAATACTCACGAAAGGGATGCTGCATTCTGCCCAAACGAATCTACCTGGGATTCTGTGGCCCCTGCATGTCGCATGCCATGGACCATCACGGACCTCTCGACAGGGCGTCGGGGACTCTTCAGGTAGATGTGGATGAGACTCATTCGTTGGACTTCAAGGCGCATGGAGACTGCTGGCTTGTGGTGTTTAACGGGTGGAGACTGCATGGGTCTTCTCTCGGTCGCTTCATTGGCCAAAGTTGATTTCAGAAGGCCAGAGGCAAACCCAAAACCATGTACTTTGCCACACCGCAGTGGGCGTGGATGTTGCCAAGTATCAAGCCCAAGGAGTGGGAAGTGAGAATGCTGAAAGACGAGCCCCTCAAACGACCATGGTGATTCAGAAACGACGAAGGTTTAAGTTACAGCTAGAGTACACATCCGCCATTGGCCCTGGCTCAGATATACAGGATCCAGAGCATCACTCGAGGATAAATCATGCACAGCCAAACCAGTCCTCAAAGCCGAAATTGACCTGACTGATCAGTGCAGCTTCAGCGAAGAGAGACAGTTAGCCATCAATAGCCAGACCATCACAGCTTGAGGTTTAGTCCCTGAAAATCAAAGGAACCTCAGAGCGAGAGACCGCAGACAAATGAACCAACAAAAGACAAGGAAAACATATTAAAAAAAACGCATTTGACCGGCTTCAAAACGGGGGCATCACCTGTTTTGCCAACTCCTTCGCGATGTTTCCCGGTGTGAACTTGGACCTGTCCAAAATGGGACCCCGCCAGCCAAGCGACCTGCGCCCCGGCCCTCGCCCAGGGTGAGGTGGTGATTTGATGTACCGACGGGTCAGTATATATATATATACATACTGCATAGTATACTGTAACATAGGCTATAGTATAATATATATATATTATTTGATGATATCGTATAGCTTTACAATGATGGTAAAGTTTGTCAAGTTTGGTCCATTCGCTGAGATGTTGCGTCCATCGAACTCAAGGAACCTGGGTGGCGCGGAGGAGTCGGTCTTTTTTGATGAGGATGACTTGCCGAGCCGAGATGTCTCAGTAGCTGCTAGTCCGGCGATGCCGGAGCGCAGCCAATCCACCCTACCTGAAAAAAGAGGAAGCGGCATGGTCTCTAAAGACTTCAAGAGAATTGTGGAGCAGTTGGTGCACCAACACCTCTTGGAACTTGAGCAATTGAGAGTACAGTTGATTTTAAATGAACCCCCCCCACCCAGCATCACCTAATTAGCAGTAGACCAAAAGTACTTAAAGCCAACATGCAAAGTCTTCCCCCCAAAAAAATATAACAGCAACGCATCATGGTCTGAAACATCCCAAGGCTTCCAAGGGGAAATGGTTGATTTAGGCACGCTTTCGCGAGATGCTGCTAGGGGGCATGTTGAAAGCCTGTGGACAGCAGTTTCAAGCCAGATCCCCTGTCCCTGGACCAGAAATCATAGTTCGTTTCCGACTGATGCGTTCATGCTGTAATTAGTGAAGATTTTGACAGCCCACACCACCCGAGGAAATCTCGCGGTTTCAAAAGGATAGAAGAGAGAGAAAGGAGAGCAAGGAATCAGAGGCCAGTGAAGATGAGCTGAAGGAGCTGCCAATCCGTGGAATTACTGCACCATCCAGCTCAGCGTCACCCATGATGACGCCGATGATGACACCGATGATGCTACGTCGCCATTCGTACTCCGCCATGGCCGAAATGGGTGAAGGGGCGCTGAAGGACCTTGGCAACATCGCCGCATCGGCTCCGCTCAGCTCGATGACCGCCAGTCTGGCCCCTTCGCCCAAGCTTCGTCGCAATTCCTACTCCACGCTCATGTGCCAGCAACACGTGGGAAAGGAGGTTTCTGTGCGCAGCATCCTGAAGCTTGGTTGGAGAAAACGGGTTCAGGTTGGGATTTGCCTGTGTTTTGTATATGCGTTGCTACAGCACAAGGGCATCCCAGAAGTCCAAAGGAAAAGGACATAATATATGAGGGTGAGGAGAAACAAAGCTTGATTATGCTTGATTTGCTTTGTGGCTGTCAGAAAACTACCCGTAAACTTGCCGCACGCGGGCCCACGGGCGCTTTAGCGCCGCGGGAAAGAATTGTTTGGCCCTAACAATGTGGTTGCCCCTCCAACCGCTTTTGCCTCCTGGAATCACTCTTGATAAAGGTGTCAAGCAATAATTTATTGATTATTCATCCCCCATTGGAGTTGGAGTTCCCCCTACGGGTGTCTTGACAGGAGGCTGTTTGTAGAGAATTTACTTTCAACTTTCATATACGTTCACATTAGAAAATCAAACATAGGCTAGGCGCTTGACCTGTGCCCCCCAATAAGAAAAGGAGAGAACAGTGCCTAATGCTTGTTTTACCTCATGAGGTGGGTGTTGATAATGCAGCGAGAGCCCATGTTCACTTACGTTGATGATGTTTATCTACAAAATCACAAGATCAGCACTGTAGCCAGTATGGTTGTGCTGCACCATCACACATCCTTATGTCGTATTATGTTTTGTTGACCGGCTTTGCTTCTACAAAATCAATGTTTGCCCCAAAACACACCAGTATGCCAAGTACACCTCAGGTATCATAATGTATCATATAATATTTATATTTAAACTACACTAGCATTAATATAATATATATATATATATGTACAAACGCCCCCGGTTTATAAGATGCACACTGATGTCTTTGTCCCGTAGTGTTTCGGCTTAAGTCCATCGGTTGGTGCATGGTGTGCACTGGTTGCGGATTTTGGCTTGGGAAGCCCTCATTTTGCAGCTCTTGTCGCACACTCTGCCGCATACAGAACCTCTTCCGGACGGGGGCATTCCTTCGGTCGCAGGAGGAGTCGATCATCCAAGTGCTCAGGTCCGCGTGTGGGGCTATTGAAGATTTGAGTGAACTGGCCATTCCTATCCTCAAGAAGGAACGCCTGGAATCGAATCCGCCCGGGTTCGAAACTATACCAGCTACAGCAGCTCAAGCTACATCGTCAGCTTCAGCAAGCGGGAAGCCATCGGCGGCTCCTGACGTTGGAGGAGGAGACAAGGTTGAGCAAGAGGAGAAACGGGAGCCTGAGCGGCCTCCTGGCGACTTTGGAGTGCGTGCCAAAGAGGAACATACAGAGGAGAAGGACCCCGTCGAGCTCGTGAAGGCAGAGTCCAAGAGCATTGAAGGAGACGAGGTTGAAGAGCCCAAGAAGAAGAAGAAGAGAAAGAGGAAGCACAAGAGTGGACCTTCGACGAAGAAGGAGAAAAGGAAGAAGAAGGAGAGAGAGGCAGCTGCGGTTGAGGAGCCCGGTGCTGGGAGCACTGCTTCGAAGCTTCGAGACCCCGAGGCCACTACAGAGGAGAAGGACCACCCAATAGACCAGGTTAGACTATTTTTTGTCTAAGATCTATTTTGTAAAAAAATTGTCTATTAGATAACTTTTTTGTTGCCTAAGACAACATGATTTTTGGCTAAGACAACTTTTCAACATTTGTCTAAGTCTATTTTGAAGAAACAGTCTTAGACTATTTTTGGCTGTGTCTGAGACAAGTTTTTTTGTCTCAGACAAATCAAAACTTCCTCAAAACTACCACAGGCACTGAGGAAGTTTACTTGCAGTTTCATTATAGGCATGAGGAAGTTTATGTTACAAAATTTGCATATTATTGCAGTTTCAGTCCATGTGCATGACAAACTTCCACACTTGCAGGTTGAAACTGCCTACAAACTTCCATCAAACTACCTCCAAACTGCCACAAAAAGAAAGGAAGTTTGGAGGAAGTTTTGAAAAACAGACGAGGCAGTTTCGAGGAAATTTCCTTGAAATTTCCTCGTTTGCAGCCGCGAAAATTTGTCTAAGACAGCAGATTTTTGTCTATTAGACAACTTTTGTTTTGTCTATTAGATAACTTTTCGTCACATAAAGTTGTCTAAGACAAATCACAAAAATTTATCTAATAGACAAATTTTAAGAAAGTTGTCTATTAGACAATTTTTTGTCTAACCTGGTCTATTGGGCAGTTGGTTGCAGAGCAGCCTGCACGTTGTGAATTGAAGCCAGCCCCCAAGGGGAGCGTTGCAAAGCACTTCAGCCATTACGACCTTCCACCACCACCGCCGGCGCCCAAGCGCCCAAGGAGCCCGGATCATCCACCACCTGATCGTGGGCAACGACGGGACGGACGTGGACAGCAGAGGTATTGGCGTGAGAGGTCAAGATCCCTTGAGCGAGCACCGCAGAGGAAGCGGGGCACCAAGGGGGTCAAGCATCGTGAGCGGGGCCGATATTGGCCCTACCAGAGGAGGTAGACGCCATGGCGCCAAAAGCCAAGGTGAAGGCAAAGGCGAAAGCCAAGGCGCTGGCAAAAGCGAAGGCCGGCGCTATGAGGAGGTTGGGGGCCATGAGAATTGGTCCACGAGGAGTGGCGAGACGGCCAGCCGCAGCCCCATTCGTCAGAGGAGCTCCTGTGCCACGGGAGCTATGGAGATCGGGGCAGTTGATGAAAGCAGGCGACATCCCGGTGGACGAGTTGGCCAAGGACGTCGAGGTGATCGCAGAGGACATGAGTTACTTTGGCGCGCCGGGTCGACTGGCCGGCGTGATCACACGGTTGGAGGTGGAGAGAGATGCCACCCATGTTCTGCTGCGAGCTTTGGGCACCGACTCGGAGGCCTTGCTCCGCCATTGCAGTGGACAACCCAAAGAACCTCTTCGCCTCCATCTTTGCCCCGAAGGTTGTGCCGGGGAGCGAGTGTCCGAGAACCTGGTCCACGGTCGCAAGATGAGGCTGGGAAAAGGCGCAGAGGCGGAGGAGCCTTGGACTCGCAACCTGGTGGGTACCGATCACCCCGGCGAAGACGAGTTGGCCGGGTTGAGGGAGAAGAAGAAGGAGCACGACAGAGCACGTGGAGGAGATCGCAAACCTTCGACGGAGAGTCGTCCGCGGTCCAAGGAGAAGAAGAAGGAGAAGAAGAGGGGACGAAGCTCCAAGAAGAAGAGGAAAGAGCAGCGGTCTCGCGATCGTTCAAGGAGTCGAAAGAAGTCAGTGAAGGAGGTTCAGCCCAAGAAGGATGCAGTGGAGAAAGTCAGCAGCAGCAGTTCCAGCTCGGGCATTCGCCTGGATGGCCGGAGGCCACGTGGGGCCTCTGTCAAGTCCCC